TAGTTTTGAATTTTTCATTCATTATTCTGCAAATGCCCTCAAAATAAATATATTAGACAGTCAACGGAACAAAACTTTTCTCTATATATAAAGAATAAAAATGGTGGTTTCCTAACTTGACCCACGTGGGTCAGGTTGGAGCGCTAGCATTTCACAATAGTTGTCAAAGTGAACTCTGGAAACGTTTAAAGAACATGTCAAATGAATGACTTAGGCTTGTTTCAATCACACAATATCCAGAATATCTGTTATTGTAACTTCAAGGGTTTGTTCAGTTGTCACCTGACTTGTTTAAAACTATTTGGTGATTCTATTGGCGTCTAAATTTTGTTATATAGATATATTTATGCTTCAAACCCAAAATATAAAAGAATTTAAACAGAAATTCATGCTGAAACTTCAAGAAAAGTCATTTTAGCTTGATTTGAGTACATTAGATCTTTTTAATATTTTTGACATTATGTTGCCTGAATATTCCTTTAACAATATCATGAATGTATATCACAGAGTTTTGCTCCAAAGAGTTTGCAAAAGCACTGTTGTTCCAGATAATGTTAATGCGCTGGTTTTCAAAAAAAAAAATCATTTCATTATCAAATATTTGCAATAAAAAATATTTTAACCATAGATTTTATATGCATATTTCTGAATTGAAACCCTGCATGTGAATCCATATAGACAAATATAAACATTATAATGTCTAGAGTATAATCTCAAAAAGTATAATGATATATTTCAAGTCGCTGAAGAGATTTGCTATTAAATATTCACTTGCTGAGGAAAATACGTTGGTTCTGGAAAAGATATGCTATGCTAACCAGAGAAAAGATGGGCATATGACGTCGAAGGTGGATCGGTTATTTAGGCAGAGCAATAAAATTTCCTTAATTCATTGAAATATTACCGCTGAGAATACTGTTGGGTTAACTTCTACCTTTTATAGCAGTAAGAATATATCATCATAAGTTGGTCTGGGTTTTCTGGGAATATTTCACATTTTAAGTTAGCAGCACATGGGCTATTAATTTCATTATATTTAAGAATAACAATTATATCCAATCACAAAATATATACTGACATATAACACCACTTTTTGAATGATTATTTCTTATAATCTATATATCCATCATAAATTAGTTGCTCTAAACTGATAATATGAAAAAACCACTTTACATTTAAAGTTCCATATTCACAAATTACAAACACAAGTAACATCAAAATGGGCGAAGATCATGTGTATATAGACAAATGAACCATGTCATATACTAAAAACGAACAATTATTAAAAGATATTAATTTATTTGGCTAGTAAAGAGATCATTTAGCAAGACAAAATATTTACTAAAGCTAATGGAACAGATCGAAACACCTACAGACCAATTATTTGGTTTACAAAATAACGCATATACGATGGTTTATTTAATTTGCTATCCAATGTATGGTGTTGTTTAACAACAAAATTCATACAATACATGATGTATATATATATATATATACTATCAATACAGATCTAATAATACAATGGTAAACACTATTTCAAAGTATATCATAAGACGATCCAAGAAATGTAAATAAGATATTTAATAATATTCGTTTATTTTTTGTCTCACTTTTTTCATATGTTAAAAGCATTTAGGTAGGGTTAAAATCAGGACATTTCGAAAATATTATTTAATAAACAGTCGGCTTTATTTGTATTATATGTTTCCAAAAATGTTCCAATTGGCCTATAATTTTGAAAATGTGTACAACTTTTTCTCAATTCAACTTATTTATTGAGCATGTTTTATTTAAACCGTTCTTTAGAGATCCAATAAGATGGAAACATATCTTGGTATAAATTTTCGGAGAGATAGAGTCGCTAGAATTAACATATATTTGTTATTATCACATGGCATAAGTTTACTCAATATTCCGAATTATATAATTCCTCTCCTTCCAATTCCTAGATATACATAGAAATTTATATTTAAGTTAAATCTTCAAAAAATTTAAAAAAAAATATCAAAACTTCTATGCAAAATCCGTGTGATCAAACAATTAAATTCAATTTCAACCAACGAGTCTCAATTACAATTATCAAACTCTTTCCTCACGGAACTGTAATTTTAGACCTTTATAAAAGGTTCATGTATTTTATAGCACCGAAATTACAAATTACATTGCGTTAAATGTTACATGTCTGATATTCATATAAATCCTTCATCAAATTTATGAAGAAACAGAAAAAAAAACGTAATCAAATTTAGAAGGTTAATTAAGACATATTGCATTTATAATTCAACCCCGAATTATACTTGGCTCAATTCTAATAACATTGATAATTAATATTAGTTATAGATTCATAAAATCCGATAAATAAATTATATTTTGGGCAAAAACTCGTGTATTTCAAAACGTTGTTAATCAAATTTGGCAAATAACATCATGTCCAACGCTTTTCGAGTTATTTTTAGGCAATAAAATTATTTGTCAAAACTCGTTTTTTTTTTTTTTCACAAAGAACTGATAAATTAAGACCTTATTGAAAGTTCATGTATGTATATCACAGAACTTTAAGCAAATACAGTTGTTATTGTAAATGTACATGTCCTGATATTTTATGATGATCATTCTTTCATCATATATATAATAAAAATAAAAAAACTGATGAAATCTAGAATGTTAATTATTGTTTGAGCATTATATATTCATTCTTCCAATATATAATCCCTGCATGTCAATCCTAATATACATAAATAAATTTTATAATGCCTTTTGTATAATCTCAATAAAATCGATAGAAAAAATATTTTTTTGCAAAAACTCGTTTTTATTGCAAAACCGGTTGTGATCAAATTGCAATAAAATCATGTTAACGCAACGAGTTTTTTGGGCAATAAAATTATGCAAAACTCGTTTTTTGTTCTTTCTTTAAAAGTACTTGGTAAGTTAAGACCTTATTAAAAAGGTCATATATGTATAATCACAGAGATTTGAGCACAAGAGTTTCCAAAAATACAGTTATTGTTATCAATGTACATGTCCTAATATTTCATGATTGATCATTCTTTCATCATAATTTATATATATAAAAATATAACAAAAAACTAATGAAATTTAGAGAAATGTAAATTATTGTTTTTTAGCATAATATATATTCAATATTTCCGAATAATAATCACTGCATGTCAATCCTATTACACTTAGATATATTTTTCATAATGCCTTTTGTAATAATCATAAAAAATAAAAAACTGATGAAATTTAGAATGTTATTATTTTTTGAGCATTATAATTATATTCATTCTTCCCGTATATAATCCCTGCATGTCCAATCCTAATATACATCTTTTAGATAAATTTTATAATGTCTTTTGTATAATCTCAATCAAATCCGATAGAAAAAAATATCTTATTGGTGCAAAACTCGTTTTTAATTGCAAAACCTGGTTGGGATCAAATTGCAATATAAAATCATGTCAACGCGACGAGTTTTGGTGGCAATAAAATTAATTGTGCAAAAAGTCGTATATTTTTCTATTTCTTCAAAGGTACTGGTAAGTAAAGACCTTATTAAAATGTCTTGTATGTATAACACTGAGATTTGAAGCACACGAAGTGTCCAAAACTACAGTTTGTAATTGTAATGTACATGTCCTAATATTTCATGATGATCATTCTTTCATCATATATATTAAAAGAAAAAAAAATCTTATGAAATTTAGAATGTTTATGTATAGTCCCTGATTCTTTCATCATATATATATTAAAATTAAAAACTAATGAAATTTAGAATGTACATTATTGTTTGAAGATATGCATATTACATATTCATTATCCCCCGAATATAATCCCTGCATGTCAATCCTGATATAATACATAGATAATTTTATAATGTCTTTTGTATAAAGTCAATAAAACTCCGATATAAAAAATATTTTTTTGCCAAAACCTCGTTTTTATTGCAAAACCGGGTTGTAATCAAAATTGCAATAAAATCATGTCAACGCAACGAGTTTTGCCCAATAAAATTATTTGCAAAACTCGTTTTTTTTCATCAAAGAACTGGTAAAGTTAAGACCTTACTAAAAGTTTCTCGTATGTATATCATTGAGCAAATACAGTTGTTGCTCTTGTAAATGTACATGTCCTGATATTTCATTGATGATATCATCCTTTCATCATATATATTAAAAGAAAAAAGACTATTGAAATTGAGAATGTAAATTAATTGTTTGATCAATACGCATAATATATACTCATTATCCCCGAATATAATTCCTGCATGGTCAAATCCTAATATACATAGATAAAATTTTATAATTTCTTTTTGTATAAATGTCAATAAAGTTCCCGATAGAAAAAATATTTTATTGGGGCAAACTCGTTTTTATTGCAAAACCGGTTGTAATCAAATTGCCCATGGAAAATCATGTCAACTGCAACCAGTTTTGCAATAAAATTATTGCAAAACTCTTTTTTTTCTTTCATCAAAGAACTGGTAAGTTTAAGACCTTACTAAAGTTCTTGTAAATGTATATCACCGAAATTTTTAGCAAAATACAGTTGTTGCTTGCTGATATTTCATGATGATCATCCTTTCATCATATATTTAAAACGGAAAAAGACTAATGAAATTGAGAATGTAAATTAATGTTTGATCATATGCCATATATATTTCATTATCCCCGAATATAATTCCTGCATGTTCAATCCTAATATACAAGATAAGTTTTATAATGTTTTTTTGTATAATGTCAATTAAAATCCGATAGAAAAAATATTTTATTGGCAAAACTCGTTTTTATTGCAAAAACCGGTTGTTGTAATCAAATTGCAATAAAATCATGTCAACGTAACCAGTTTTTGCAATAACATTATTGCAAAACTCGTTTTTTATTGGCAAAACTGGTTGTAACAGGGCTATGTTTGAAAAAGATTCTTTGAAAAACTCGATAGATTTTTGTTGGAAAAGTTGTTTGAGGTGACTGTTAATCCCAAAAGGAGAGTTCGCTATTATCACATTTGATACGTCTGCAGGTAAGAAACTGTAAAAAATATAACCGTAAAATCAGTCAGTCTATAATCATTAAATATATTTATTAAACTGTTCTTTATTTGGTCTCAAATAGTTTAAGGAAAAAACAATCAGATAAAAAAATACAATTTACAGCTCAAAACTGCAGGATGAAATGATTATACAAGTTAATTTTGTCACTGCATTCAATGACATGTTTTGTCAGGAATACACATTTAAGCATTATCTTTTCAGCTGTATATGAAATAATGAACAAGAGACCAATGACTATATTGGGGTTTAATATTGATGTAGATGTTTACAGTAAGTAAGATTTGAGCACTTTTATTCCCGTTAAACAGTTTACCTTTTTCCTTTGTCTTTTTTCAAATATGCAGATTTAAAAGGTAAAAAGCGACACAAGTGAGTAAAATTGAAATTAATTAATTAGTTTTCTTATTGATAAACTTCATTCAAAGTGAGACAACTTAAGAATAAAGAATATGCGGAAGTATCTATATGCCCATCCAAGAGTAAAAACAATAATGTGCAGGTAATGTTAACATTACTTCACATTCTGCCATAATTGTTCTATCAATACCCTTTAGAATTTTATCATATTCAAATGTCTTTTTAAACTATAGACGGAAGTTTTCGGCCGAACGCCGTCCGATTTCACCTTGACTTCCGCTAAAATTAACAGTAAAGAAATGAATATAGGCTGAATTTTCACTGGTCATTTAACAATTATAGCCTGTTCGATTGATACTTTAGAATAGCTTCCGTTATAGGTAGAGGTCTGTTCGATTGTCCGATGGCAAGAAGTGTTGGAAAAAGATATAAATAAGAATAAATATATAAAAACACAATAATGATATTTTCTAGATGTTTCTAACAGCTTCTGAATAAATATATGAAATTAAATATGACAGGTCGCCTTTTTGATACTTTTGCGTTCGATTGGGTTTCTCCTCTAAGCTGTTCTATTCATTATATTCTCTTCTCGAACCGGGCATAACACGATTATAACGAACTTTCGACTAATTTACAGTAACTGTTGCAAAATTTTAGGTGAAATTAGTGTACAGTATCTACTAAATCTTTGTTTCATTATAAATTCCTATTCAAATCAAATTCCATTTTGATTAAAATCAAATAATGTAAGTAATATTGTTTGTTTCAATCTAAGATGACAATTAATGGGGAAAATCATTGCGGGTAAAAATGAAATGAAACTATTAAGGACAAATAAAATGTTCTGTTTGCGGTTATCATGGTAAATAGTAGCTTATCGTATGCAATTAACAAGTTTGACTTCGGCCGAGTATCTATTTAAAGATAATTCTATTCTTGTTTATGTTTTATATTTTTATAACTCATTCTCAATTATTGGTTATTTACAACATTTATAGCATTTCTTCTTTATTAGTTTGTTCAATTTGACAGCTAAAATAAATTCAATATCACATAACTTTAAATCAGTAGCATTATTCAAAACTTCTATTTTATCTAACGAAATAAGTAATAACAATAAAAGTGACATCTGAAAATAAAGCCAGACTGTTGTTGGGCAGACATATAGAAGTCAAGCCAAAAAGGGATATACTATATAACTAAAAACACATATATTTTCAAGCTTAATTCGATTATTAGAAATAATATTTTGATATTTTTGAATCATTTTAGAAACAATGCAATCGTTGGACCAATTTCCCCTTTTAGAATTATGCATTGAATTTTACTTTCACTTTTTTACATCAAGCTTGTCCAAACAGCATTTAAATATGTGCTTTTAAGATAGTTCTTGTTTTGCACTTCGAGAAAAAGTAGTTCTTGCTAGACATATTACAATCATTAGACTAGCTGAACATTCAAACAACTTTAAAAGAGTATCAAAACAATAAATTTCTTTTGAAGGGGACAAAATCTATTCAGAATCTGAACATGCCGAAAGAGATGTACAAGGACCAGAATCATTACAAACAACAGGTTGCATTATTATTCAGATTTATGACTGTAGCATATAATGTTATGATAGATAGATAAATATTTCACCAATAGTAATTAATACAATGAAAAAAAAACAATGAAGAATATAATAATTATCCTAGTGTAATTCAAAGAATTTTCATTATAGGTCATTGTCTTTTATTTTCAAATAACAATATAGAGTTTATTAATATGTAACATTACAATACGCAATCGACTCTTTTAGGGACGTGTCATAAGTTTTGTTGTTTAAATTTATTACTCTAAATATAAATGTAATTTTTTCCTTCTTATCGTACAAATTATTTTGCACGTGCAGAAACAGAACCGGATGGTAAATTATTGTTTATTTATTTAAACAGTACCAAAACGCTATATATTCCTCTTTTAACAATATGATTAAATTAACACGATTATTATTCAATGACACCTCTGGCGACAATTGAATATTTTACATGTGATTATGTACTTTGAGAATATGAAAAATTGAAACTGTAGATATTCTGACTGGACATGTTCATTGTCGTACACAATGCATAAAGTTTTTAAAAAACACTAAGTCTTAAATCTTTCTGAGAAAATCCGTTCGTTTTCCTTTCTTGTGAATCAAATAAATTACAATCTCTGTATTTTGTGATATCCAGTTTGATACTTTCATTCAATGGTAGCATTGCTTAAATCATTTAACCCCAAATTGACCGCAGTTAGAGCATTGTATCTGATATAAAATTGTGGCACATAATACATAAAACAAATGTTCATAACGGAAGTTTGAGTTTTTTTTAGGTGAAAGTATCACTTCAAAACGCGACTCTATTGGAAGAGAAAAGAAGGGAGCAGAAACTTCAAGCCAAATCAATGACAAACGTATGTAAAATTGATTTTGTTTCCTTGCACACTAAGTGCCCTATCATATAAACAACTTTGAAAGAAAACAAAAAAGAGAAATACAGTAAACATATTACTTCTTTGTACGTAAATATTACATATTTCTATTTATACTTATGCAAAGTATAGTCGAACTGAAAGTCATTTAAAAACATAAAGAGACAAATTTTGTAACTTGTAAATGATTGACAGACAAAATTGCTTTTGCATATTCAACTGTAACGACGTTTCAAATTTCTTAGCTCCATGGTTCATTTATTTAGTTGGATGTCTTATCATTTTTGAGAAAACTTCTTTTCTCTTTTCTCTCTTTCTCTTAGCATGCTATTTGGCTGTTGTAAACATTTTCCGAACTTCTTCTCAGTGTATTATTATTTTCAGGTCCGGGATAATTTTGCCCAACACATTTAATGCTTAATATTAATACCGCAATTTTATCAACAGACAGAATCAACCTAAATCTGCTTTTTTACATGTTTTTCTGGGTGCTGTTGGTGTTTACATTGCTTCAGAGTGGTTACCGATTTTCCATATGTTTCAAAATCCTTTAGTCATTGTTGACAAACACTTCATTGGTAAACGCTTGACCGAAACAAAACTTCTACATGCATTGAGGGTAGTCAATATAACTTGGCACACATGATCACCATTGTAAGGCAGAGGGTCGTGTACAAAATTTAGTCCCTGAGGTCAAGGTCAAGGTCACAAATATGGGTCAAAGTGCAGATATAAATATGAAAATATGTATTTGGACCATTTACTCATCATGTATTGAAGAATTGAAACACACATTGCCATGTTCAAGGCTACGGGTGTAAAACATGTTATTAAGGTTAAGATTTGCAAGACCAAGATCACTAAAGATGATAAAATACAATGTTACTTTCGAATTCCGGAACTTCTGAAATTAGGAAACTTCTGAAATCTGAATATTTTTCAGAGTCCCGAAATTTCTCCTTCTGTTTCCTATGTAATTAGTTCCTATGAATTACGGTGCTTCTTAATTCTGAATTCCGAACGATTATTTGGTAAAAAGTGATATCAAATTTACTTCCAAAATCCGAAAATTAAAAAAGGTATGAAGAAATATCATACTTGTGATTGTAGATCTCTAACAATTTCAGTATATTCCAAAGTAACATTTATCTTGATATTTATTAAGAATCTCAACATGTCCAGCATGACAACTTCTTGATGACAGTGTTAAAAAAAGTATGTGATAAGTATGTGATGAATAAACAAAACAAAAACAAAACAACAAAAGGTAAAAAAACAAAAAAACAGGTTAATAGCAGGTAATACATAACGATAGTAAGAATAAATTGTTAATAAACAATATGCTATTGTATCCACAAATTCATTAATTATAGGTAAAAATGAAATCTAAAATGGTTATAAAAATTTTTTTAATTATTTTGGTCCGCATGATTTTTTATTTGAGAGTGTAATTTTGTTAAATACTATAAAAATATCTATACTTTTGCAGCAGCAGAAAAATATTGTTAAATGAAATAATGCAAGTTTGGGGAATTTTTCGAATTAAAATTGTTGGTTGTTAAGAAAATTAGTACTGCTTAAATAAGAGGCACCTTCTTAACTAAATGTAGGTTTTGAATTCCAAGGTTCAACCTATTTTCTATTTTAAGGTTTCCTAAACGAAACAGGTGCGAATAGAATGAACAGAAAGGTTGAAACTTTTTATCTGGTCTTATATTTGTTCCACCTCTCTTATTATTGAAGTAAGCAATGTGACATTATTGGTTTCAACTGATATAACTTAAGCGTTCATTTTTATAGATTATAAAGAAAAACATATTAAGTAACATACTTTTTTCGATTCACTTCATAGAAAATGACACACTGACTGAAGAGCCAACAAAGATTAAACTTTCCAGAGTATCGGTAGACATGAATAGGTCTATGTTGAAAAGATTCTTTGAAAACGTGATAGATTTTGGCGGAAAAGTTGTGGAGGTGACTGTTAATTCTAAGGAGAGTTCTGCTATTGTCACATTTGACACGTCTGCAGGTATGATATTGTATAAAATAATATAATCGTACAATCAATTATAATCATTAAAAATACCTAGTAAAATGTTCTTTAATTGGTCTCAAATAGTTTAAGAAAAATAAATCCGATATGTTTAACATATTTGTTTTTTTTATTCAGGTATACAGTCAACTAAATTCAGTTTTCCAAAATGGAAATCAAAATATTGTAAAACACTCATTAATTTTGACGGCGATAGCTAAAGAATGTGAGTGGTTTTATGCCGCAAATAATTTAAACCATTTAATATCATTAATTACAAATATTATACTTAATCGTGACAAGAAATTCAATGCTAACAAAGAGGAGATACATATAGTGTGGTTTTGTTGTTTCAAACATGTTTTGTATAATACTTTACATTTATGTTATTTTGTCTAGAAAAACCTCACCTGGTACTATTCATTTCTTTATTTCAGATCTATCCAGTCACAGTTTACCACATAATACTCCATGATGTAATTTAAAGGCTCGATTGTCTGAAATACAAGTTAATTTTGCCACAGCATTCAATAGCATATTTTGTCAGATATATACATTTAAGCATTTTCTTTTCAGCGGTATATGAGATAATGGACACGAGACCATTGACAATATTGGGTTTTAAAGTAGATGTAGATGTTTACAGTAAGTCAGATTCTAGTATTTTAGTTAAAACACGTTACTTATTTCCTTTGTCAACCATGCATTTTCAATTTAATAAATACACAAACATTTTAATGTATCATACATTTAATGTATATTGAAAAGGAAAGAAGCAAAAACAAGTGAGTGAAACTTTTTTTAATGAGATATGTTAAACTTCACGTAAAATAAAACAACATAAGAATAAAAATATGTGAAAGAGGCATCATGCCCATCAAAGCGTAAAACGTGATTGTGCATTTATAGGAAACATAACTTTTGCCAAAATGTTTTATGTCATACTTAACCCATTACCTCATATACACGCCTTTCACACATTTTCATCTCATTTTAAGGCCTCAAATAGTGAACAAATGTCCTATTTAGTCTCCAAACACTTATTTTCGTTTGAGAAATGTTGCTTAAAAAGATACATTAGGGTTGCTTGAGGGGCATGTGCCACCATTCTGCTCGGGGTTTTGTAGGAGACAGCAGCTCCCCTCATCAACAAGAAAGGTTTAAACTTGTGAAGGGTTAAAATGAACTCCGCTCAAACCTAACGAAAGGCGTAACGAAAGCTAAAAAGTTACAAAGTCAACTATTGCCTTTTTTATAGTTTCATATTAATTTGAACTTGTAACAGGTGGCTTTTCAATGAAAACAGCCATTTTTCACAAAATGTTCATGTGGCAATTGGTTAATAAAAAATAAACAATAAAAAAATGATATCAATAACCTTAAGAATTTTATCATGGTCAAGGTGTGGAGCAGTCTTTTGATATTTTAGACGTTTTTATTGTTTATTATTTATCGTCAATAATAGGTGCATTACAACTTCTGTAATATTTCTTTCTTAACTTTACTGCTATTTCAGCTCAATTTGACACTTCAAATAAACATGATATCATTTAACTGTCAATCAGGTTAATTCCCTAATCGATAACTCTATTATGATTTTAACAAAATGAATAATTACTATAAAAGTGACATAAATGTCTGAAATTCAAAATAGTCCACCTTGCGCATAAATTCATAGAAATAAAATTGGCTGACAGCGATAAAGTCAGACCACCTTCCATTTTTATTTATCCACACCTTTGCCAATAAACAGTTTCCTGCTGTATCAACACGAAAATCTACTAATATAATTTTTGATTTTAATGTACTTAATTTCCAATATATCGAAACCCAAATATCACTGATGACACAGATTA